GATTGGAAAAAGGCTTGGAGATCTATTTTGGGTATTGTTTCGATTTTACCCCAGAACCCCCAAATTGGCTTTACTTATATTAATAAAAAAAATTATTTATAATAATTATTAAAAAGATAAATATATTATTAAAAATTTAATTAATTTTTAAATAAAAATTTTCTTTAAATTATTTAAGATCAATTAGGATTTTTTAGAATTTACCAATTTTAATTGAGGCATACTGCAATAAACCAGACAGTGAATATTGGTATTACCAAGAATTTCAGGGATCAAAATTTAGTAATGTGATTATTAAAATCTTCCATTTGTTATTTTAAGTAATATATAGAATTACTTCTATATAAAAATAGTTAATATGAAACTCATTTACATCAGATCTACTATGGAACCAAAGAATTACAGCACCATTAGAAGTTTTTTAAAAAAGAAACAAGGTGAAAAAATTGCTCCTTATATTTTCAAAATAAATGATACTCAGACACTAGAAGCTTATCTAAGAAAAGAAAGGATTACTTATGAAATTTACCAAGAGGAAAGAAAAATAATAAACATTAAAAAAAGAAAGCAGAATAAAGGTGTATTATTACCTAACAAAAAACAGAAACATTTGGAAGAAAAATAATCTTGTTACAATATTGATTTATTTTTTCCTTTTAATTCTTTTAACAACATAGATCATAGCAATTAAAAAGTTATATGGGCTATTCATAATCACATAGAATTGTTTTTATATTCATCAGCAACTTTGGCAAAATCTTCATCTTTAAGTCAGAGATAGTAATTTTAACATGATAGATACTAGATCCAGTAGTGCTATAGTTACATTTGTAATCAGAAAGAATGTAAATCTTATTTTTATCAGTAATACTGTAACTGCCTTTTCATTATGTTGGATATCATAATAAGATATCAAAAGCCAGGATATTTTCTTTAACTTTATCTAAAAGACAGTTAGAATGAATTTCATTTATATTAGAGGAAAATACTTTCTCAATATTCTTTAAATTACTTTCTTATTTTCAATCAAGGTCATTTCTTAGTTTCTTTAATTTCAATTTGTGCAGTTTGTTGAATTTTCTGTTTCCTTAATTGCTCAACCTCACTTTCAAGTCTTTAAATCTTATCCAATAATTCTTTCTTTTGATTACTATGCCAATCCTTTGAAACTTCTAAGGCTTCCAAATGAGAACTGATTTCTTCCTTAGCACTAGTTAGTTGTTGTTTCAGGTCTTTATTTTGTTGTTCTAATCTACCCACATAACTCTGAGCCATTATTTCTGTTATTGTCAGAGTTTTAACTGGTTCATCTTTCCTTAAATCACAAAAGCATTCTATTCTGTTTCTCATAATTCGACCACAATCACTACAATATGGTAGAGCATTATCATCAAGAGCTTTTTTACACTCTACACAAATATAAGCAATATCATTATAATCATTATTGCTTCTATTGTAAGATATTATTTTGTAAATAGCAGTCAAACTATTTCTCTTTCAAAAGGGCAGAAATTACAATGCCATTTATCTTCTCTCCTTAACTTGTTAGCTTGATATTCTAATTTCATACTATTTGCTCTTTTGTAAGATATAAGTATTGAATTTTTCCCTAGTTATTTCTTTTGCTTACTTAATTCTGTTCTTTACTTTGTTAGTTAAGAGTTTATATTTGTTTTCTTTTTTTGGTAAAGTTGGCAGTTCTTGAAGTTGCTTGTCTGCTAAATAATTCTGCTGTGAAACAACATTTTCTAACAGCTCTATTTGTTTCAAAGCTTTTTCTAAGTTATCATCCTTTTCTTTGCTTTGTCTTATTCTCCATTGTTTAGCTACCTCGAGAGCTTCTAAATGACAATCAGATGTTTCCTCCTCTAATTCTAATGCTTCTTCTATCTCTTGTTTGGTTATCTCTAACTCAGCAACACTTTTTTCTAGAATAGCATTCTTTTCTTCAAGTTCTTTATTTTTATCATAAGTAAATCTAAAATAATCTGAAGTAGCTAATGTTCATTCACTAAATCCTTTAACAATGTTTTCAATAGTGAATTCATTACCAAAAATAACTTTCTCGACTCCATTTTCTTTTTGAATATTTACCCACTTATCTCAAGCTCAAAAATGTTGTTTTAAGGTCATTAAAATGCCAGCAATTTCTGGTCTTTTACTTTTCATAACATTATTAACTGTATTTAAAGTTCTTAGTTTAAAGTTTTCTTCTTTATCGACTAATTGCTTTCTTAATGTTTCAATTTTGTTTAATAGTTTTTGGTTTTTTCTTGTTATTCTGTTATTATGTTTACCATGATTTTCTTATTTATTTATTCTTTAATAATACTTATATCCTTTTTAGAGGGTATATTAAGTATATAATTATTTTAGTATTTTTTTTTACTAAAAGCTAGCAATATTTATTGAAAGATTAAACTTATTAAACTTAATGACAGTAATAACAAATATTCATTGTCAGTATAGATTGGTCTTGGGCAAGTAATATCTTTGTATTCATCTTTCACAAATGGGCGAATATTATGATAAAGATATTCTTGCCTTTTGTAATCCAAAGGAGATGATGTTAATACTAAAATTGATAAAGCTTCAATTTCTTCAAAAGTATCTGCTTTCTTGGTTTTCAATAAGTTAAATTCAGTAAAAGGTCCATTAGCAACTTCTTGAACTTTTACTGTACCAAGATTAGATACTTCAAAAAGAAAATGTTGATATCTCTAGATACTTGGTAATTTCTTAAAATAATTCCCAAAATTGCTTTAATATCTAAGTATTGAAAACCTTTTCCACTTTCATAACATTAGGCTTTATTTAATCCTGCTGGACTAGATTTTTTATTACCTCAACCATATGTTTCAGACAATCTACTCTTGTTCTTCTGTAAAGTTTTTTAATCATGTCAAAACTACCATCACATTTGAATTTGGTATGTTCTGGAACCATAAAGTTCAATTCAACACTTTCATAATAACCACAAATTACCAAATATAAATAAAACCAAATTGTTACATTGTTTTTATTTTGTCTTCCAGCATTATCACAAGTTATCTTTAAATGTTTTTCATCTTTATTCAATTTTTTAATTCTATCAAAAATCATGCTAAGAGTTCTATTAGGACCTTTACCTATGATTTCATCTTCATTAAGAACATAATTGATTTGTTCCCTTGCTGCTTTATCTTGAATACCAAATAAATGAACTTTACATGAACTAAGGTAATAAATTTTACTTACTTGTTGATCTAAATGAGACACATGAACATTTTGGGCTCAATCATAACTATAATGAGTAGTAGCATCAATGTTATAATATTGTGTTTTACCCTTGGAATAATGTTGATCAACTAGTTTTCTTTGTTCTGCTACTAATTTGGTATTTTTATTATAATAATTTCTTTCTAATCTTGCCTTAGACAAATGTTCTTTAAATCTTTTGAGCAAATCTTTAGCTTCTTCCTCTTGGTGAGCATTATAATGTAAACCATCTCTAAAATGTTGACAAGTATCACACAAGTCAGTTCTTGGACTCATAATTTGAATTTCTGGTGTCAATTGATGTCATAATTTTCTGAAGGTATCATATTTTAAGGATTTCAAATTACTATCTTCTTCTAGACCAGTTAGAAAATCTCTATAGACTGATTTATAACTCATTTCAGCTGGTAAGAATACAATTGATTGAGTTATTCTATTAATACTTCTTCCTGAACTTGGTAATTCATGAACTTCTGCATAATTTTCTAGAAAATTTTTTACTATTTCTGCAACATTTTTATCAATCATCATCTTTGTTTTCCATTGAGGCATCCTTTTAATATTATTATGAACTCTTGGTAGAAGACCATTATTTATCAGATGATTCCTGATTTTTCCAAAATATGTCTTCCCAATCCTCAACATATTGAGGTAAGTTTCTTGATAAAGAAGTGTATTGTGATCCCAATGATAGAAAGTTCTTTTATTAGATCTAATTTTCTTTTTAAAGCGTCTACTAGTGCTTATTAATCCCCCATCCATTGCCTTAAGTTGGGCCATCAAAAATATATCTTGTTCAAACTTGGAAAGAGCTTGAAAGGATTCATGTAATTCTGCAAATTCCTCCTTGGGAATTCTTGAAGAAAAACACATTTACAACCTTTTGTCTAAAAAATTAATTGCCTTTTCATATTCATTAGAATCATTATGGTTATTATTTATATTATTATTTTTCATATACCTATAATCCTATATATATAATTTTATGTTCACTTTGTAGTTTTTTTTATTGAATTTTAATAATTGTTATAATTAACATACCATTTCATTACAAGCAACATACAACACATGGAAAAGGATAATTATACAGCATATTTTCAACTCACTACTACATTTATACATCAAGGCTTGTTAAAAAGTTTATAATTATAATGCTTATAATGTCCATTTGAAAAAATAAAAAATCTTTTTATAATCTTATTAGAATGTCAAAAAATCCCTATAATAAAACTAATATTGTAAAATGATTAGCACAAAAAATTTTAATAACTTAATATTTATTTTTTTTTTTTCAATATCTCCATCAGGAAATTTTTTCTGATGCGAATTTATGTAATTATTACACTATTTATGTAAGTTTACAGCGGGCCCTATAATATTATACAAAGATTACACAAAAATTATGCAATTATTACATTCAGTGTAAATATTATGTCCTTTTTATGCGAAATATTATGATATTTCATATTAAAACTTACAGATATAATATTACGACAGGAAAAGTTTCCTGATAACTCTAGCCAATGTAAATCATGATCTTTATGTATTAAAGCATTTCCTTCAGCCCCACTTGCCCATTTAATTTCTGGATTAATTATAGGTGTATAACAATCTTTTTGATGTATTCCAGCCCAGCCAAAGTCTATAAGCATTACTTGTAACTTTCCATGAACCTTTTCTATCATTATGTTTAAACTATGTAAGTCACCAAAAATAATATCATTAGTGTGCAAAGTGTCAATGGCCTCTTGAATATTTTTTAAAACATCATATTCCTCTTTTGTAATGTTGGCAGTCTGTAATGTTTCAACATTAATATATTTCATTACAATCATGTACCATCCTCCCAAATTGATGTTGCTGACATAAAAAAGTTTTTGTGCAAAGTTTTTCTTAGCACAAAGATGATGTGCTTTAACATTATATCTCTGAGTAAATTTGATAACAATTTCACATCCATTATAAGTTTTTCCCTTAAATAAAAGCTTTGATTTGTCTTCTGTCAACCAATCTTCATAAGTAAATTGTACTGCTACATCATCATCTGACATATTGATGAGGATATGAATAAAATCATTGAGGATTCTCAATCTTTACATGTTTAGACACATAAAGTTTCTGATAAAAGTTTTTTAAAATACTGGTCTGCATTATATATTGCTTGAAAAAGACATGCAATATGTTGATAGCATTTTTCATCAAGACTAGATATCATTGGAATAAAATCAGTAAGTGATATATAGAACTATCTCTATATAAAGATAGTTAATATGTTATTTCATAACCAACTAATAGATAACAAACAGTGTTCCATGTTGTAATTCAAAAAAGGAAAGTAAAGTGATCATGTTGGATAGGGTGGAGGTTGATGATTCTCCTGATATTAAGAGAGCAAGGACAGAAAAATATATCAAGGAATAATCAGCCATAAGGTGCTTTGCATGTATATTAGTATAGACGTCATGTATCATGGACTATATCCCAAACTTTGTATTAAATTTTTTTCTTGGAAAAAGTGATCAGTGTGAATAATTGTTCATGCACACATGATTTTTTTATTTTAAATTTTAGTCATGATAAATCATACAAAAATATTAGCATCTAATGCTAATAATCATTTTTTTTAAAATTTTTTATTATGGAACAAATATATTGATTTATTACAAATTAGCAGAAATAATGCATATTAATAATATTAATTAAAAAAAATATATACAAGAGTGTTTTATAGTATATTATATTATTTTGTATATAATGTTTTATGGATGCGTAATATAGTTGTACACTAATCTTGCAAGTTAACATCCATTTCTATAACATTATCATCTAATATCATTGAATCTTGCTCATTATCCAGAAATGAGTATGGAGTATATGAACAATTCTCCAGCTGAGTTCTAATGTCCTCAAGGTAACTTCTACAAGTTGAATTCTTTTCAACAACTTTTTCAATAACTTCAGTGGCACTTTTATATGGTCGATTCTCATATATAGCCTTAGATATGACCTCTTCAGCCCCTTTGATCACATTAGCAATTTGATTGGGCTCTGCAGAGTTGATATTGAGATCATTTATAATATCAAAAGTCAATCGTAAGGCAAACAAGGGGCCAAAATACTGATTGAAGTTCTCCTTTGAAATAATCAGGCAGTCATCTGGTAGATCTTTAGGATTCCCTTTAAATGGTCGTGATGTAAAAATGACAGTCACAATATGAGCCTCCTCAAGAAATTTCCTCAAATTATCATCTTTTACATCTTTATAAGCATTTTTGTTCTTATTGCATTCTTTTACAGCATCATCTATGGTAAATTTTTGTGATGTAATGTACCATTTCTGTTGAAATGCTATAAGAAGATTTCTACTTTCAGGAATTATTTTACGTAATAAAAAAACATCAGCAAATGGTGCTGAATAGCCATTTACAATAACCAAGCCATCCAGATCCATGACTGTGTTATTTAAGCGGTTTCTTGGAAGGCCAGTTTTTGGAATTGGTTTTTTGCTTCACATAATTCAAGCTTTTCAAGCCTCACCCAGATGTTCAAAACAGAGACTTTGCCAATTGCTCCACGATAAAATTCTTTCAAAGAAATTCCATCTTTATGCTTCTCTAGCTCAACAAGTATGTTGTTGCGAAATACCTCATAATTAGCTACAAATTTCTCCCAGGTATCCCAGGCCATTTGTGATTCAGGCTGAAACATTTTGTGTATAGTAGTAGGGATTGTGTTCAACCATATGTTGTATATGTAAATAAAGTAAAAAGGCATCTCAATAAAGTAAGTATTAGGACCAGGATTCCTTAGAATTAAAAACCCATCACGCTTCAGGTCTTCTACTGTTACAGTACACTCACTATCCAATTTTGTATCAAGCTGAACCGGAATGGCTCCAATGCAGTGGTATAATTGCTGACAACTAGCTTCACGGTTTTTCATAATAAATTTGTCCAATTTATACTTATTCACGAGAGTATTAATGACAACATGAAATATGTCATCAAATAGTGTAAAATTTTTATCCTGCAGTTTTAGAAAGAATCTACCTCTTTTGAAACATTTATCAAGAACAGTTTCCAGTGCTCGTAGTAGTCCACCAGTATCATATAAAAGCTGTAAAAATTTGGTGTTGCACATCCAAAGTTTCTTTTTATCTCCTCCTTTTTCAGCAAAATAATTAAAATTTTCAATAATTGATTTGTTTGATAACAGGGGACACTTGACAAACTCAAAGGAATAATCTGTTGCTTTAAAGCTATTGGTAACATCTTGTGATGCTGTACCTGATAAAAATGTTTGAACGTAAAAATTACTGTTTTCAGATTCTATCATCAAATTTCCAAGAGCATACAACATTTCTTTAAAAAGTCTTTTCTCAGTCATTCCTAAGGATGGGTCCGCAAATAGGCAATTGCAGAATAATTGCGATTTACGATATTGCGGACAATTGCGGAAATTAAGG